ATTCATCAGCACTTTTAAAAGAGGTACAGTCCAGGAAACTCACAGGGTCGCTCCACCCTGTCCTGCAGGGTTGCTGTCAGTTGAAATCCACTGGGTGGCAGTGAGTTTGGCCCACCCTTTCCTTGACTTTCACGATACTGACTTGTTTCAGTCCAGGCCAGCCAGTCCCTTTGCAGAATGTCCCTTAGCTTGGATGGTTCCTCTCATCATGACCAGATCCACAAGATGCCCTCCCTCCCAGTGCAATCAAGAAGCAAAAGTGTCAGTCTGGTCCCATTATTGGTAACGTAAGTTTGAGCATTTCTCCAAACTTGAATTTCTCCGCTGCCGAGTTACCCTTCCCTTAGTTACTAATAAGCCACCCAGAGGATAAACTGGCACCGTGACTGCGCTACTTAGCCTTTCACTCACTGGGGTAGCACCTTATTATTCATGGATCTTGCTTAAATCACTTATTGTATTAGTAGGATATAAAATGTGACTTTTTTAAATAAATCATTTTATTGGGGACTCTTATAGCAAGAGGCTCCAATAAAATGATTTATACATTTATAAATAGATCCTTTTTTTTTTTCTTTTTCTTAATCATTTTATTAAGGGCTCATACAACTCTTATCACAATCCATACATACATCAGTTGTGTAAAGCACATTTGTACATTCATTGCTCTCATCATTCTCAAAACATTTGCTCTCCTCCTAAGTCCCTGGCATCAGCTCCTCATTTTTCCCCTCCCTCCCCTCTCCCCCTCCCTCATGAAAATACATCCATTATATCAAGCACATTTGTACATATGTTGCCATCATTTTCAAAACATTTTCTACTTGAGCCCTTGGTATCAGTTCCTCTTTTTTCCCTCCCTCGCCCACCCTCCTAAAATGTGACTTTCTAGCTATACATTTCTATATTTATTAATTAAGCACCTTCTGGAAAAAGAGTCTTTCCCTTCTTCCACATACCTGCCTTCGAGCCTTAGGACTTTTAAAATTAACTGTTATCTATGCTCATCTTTTTTTTTTTTAATCGTTTTATTAGGGGCTCATACAACTCTTATCACAATCCATACATACATCAATTGTGTAAAGCACATTTGTACATTCACATCATTATTTTTAATGTTCAAGTTGTTCAAAATGACTAAGTACCTGGCTCCTATATCCTTTGGACATGTTCCTATCAGATTTTTTTTAAATTAATGAATCATTTTTGGGGAGCTCTTAGAAGTCTTATACAATCTGTACATCAATTATATCAAACACATGTGTACATATCCCTATCAGATTTTAAGCTAAACCAAAGCCACAAAAACCTTATTAAATTTAATATCTTATTGTAGTTCTGTTATCAAGTCAATTCCGCCTCTTGAAGTGTAAAACCATCAGCTGCTCCACGGGAGATGGACCAAGCTTTCTGCTCCTGTGATGAAAGAGTCTCAGAAGCCCACAGGGGTAGTGCTGCCCTAAGCCTACAGGGCTGCTCTGATTCAGAGGGCCAGAGAAAAAGAAGGCCCCCAACAGTGCCTGCAATGATGGGCTCAACCTAGGGAACAATTGTGAGACCGGCTCAGGAGCGGGCAGTGTCTCGTTCTGCTGTGCCTGGGCCGTCAGGGTTGAAAGGGAAGGAGTTGATGGCACCTAACAGCAACAGGAGTCTGAATTAGCTTGATGGCAGTGACTTTGGGTTTTTTGTAGGTTTGATACTCGGTGATTCTACTCGTTGGAAAAAGTTTAATACTTGTGTAAGTCAAGCAAACCAAACTCACTGCCATGGAGTTGACACTCACCGGGACCCCACCCTCTAGGACAGGGGCTTCTGACACTGTCACTCTGTATGGGGCAGAAAGCCTGAGGAGCAGCTAGTGGTTTCAAACTGTCGGCCTTGCCGTTAGCCAGCCTAATTCGCAACCACTGCACCACCAGGGCTAGGTTCCTTGTTTAAAACACCAAAGGGGAAACACTAAAGCAGGTGACAGTTTAATCTTTTTAATAAGTCCCACCTGAGGACCAGAAAATATAGAACCTAGCGCCCTTTGGCACTCAGATGTCCCCGGGCTTGTCTTCGGGGACCCTAGCTACTAACCATGCATTTCATCTCCGTCAGTGTGCACAGAAAGCACTTCAGGTCAATACACAACTGACTGTTTCCCTCTTGCAGAGCACTTACGGAGTTCGGTGATTGATCGAAAAGACTTAATAATCAAAAGGATTAAGCCCAAGCCCCAGCAAGGAGATGACATCACAGTGGTGGACGTGGAGAAACAGATTGACGCCTTCCGGGGCCGGCTGGCCCAGATGCTGGGGGAGCCGCTAGTCCCGCAGCTCCAAGACAAAGTGCACTTGCTGAAGCTCCTGCTCTTCTACGCTGCGGGCCTGAACCCCGAGGAGCCCTCGCCAAAGAACTGCAGCGGGTCCTGAGGGCCTCGAGCACGCCACACAAGAATACCTCCTGAACTCTCCAAAAGTATGGCGCCGTAGTTAAGAAAATCTGACAGGACCAAGCCCATGTTATTTATCTGTAGGTTTTAATACCTTTCTGACTTTAGAAAATATCTTCTTTTGATAATCCTACTTTAGCCTGCTCTCAGATATGGCTTAACTACACAAGGTGTATATATATATATTTTTTTAATAAATTATTTATCTATACTTTTTTAAACCGGTCATAGTATATGCACTACGTGGTAAACATTTCCATTCAAGATGTGACGGG